GACTATGTCTACGATGTTAAGTGGTCACCCACCAATCCGGCAATGTTCGCGTCAGTGGATGGTAACGCGAATTTCTCGTTATGGAATTTGAATGATGATACCGAGGTTCCGATCGTCAATACTCACGTTGGAAGCGGCAAGGCATTGAATAAACTACAATGGGACAAGGAAGGTCGGAGAGCCGCTATTGGTTCCTCGGACGGACGTGTACACATATACGATATTGGCGAGGTAAACCCTATTTACCTTATATCTGAATCTTTCTTCTTTTTTTATATATGTAAAATACTGACTTCATTATTGTTTTCGAAACAGTTATGCATCCCACGTGAAGACGAATGGACGAGAATGCAAAAGACGGTTTCAGAAATGATGGTAAGTGATGACATGCTCGGAAAACACTCAGTTCCAAAAGTAGAAAGAGCATGATCGGAGTTGGAAAAATTAGCATCCATATGAAAGTCTATTTAAAGCATTAATAGAAAATTCATTATATATATGGCGTTTACATTTTGTACATATTCTTTTTGTCCATTATTTATTTAGTAAACAGGATTTGCAAAAAAATAATATTTTCTTGGAAAGAAGATTCATCACAACTTGAAAATTCAATTTTACCTTGATTGGTATAAATGATTTCTCCTTTGAAAGTGAGTTGTAAAGTAATTTATTATAGGCATGGCAATTAGTTAACTTATCAAGGTGTTGATGTAAATATTGGTGTATAGAGTTCATGTTTTACTTGCGCATTATTCTTTTAAAGGTAGACCTTTAATGGTTTCTACTGTTGGAATCTTGACATCAAATGGGTATTATAATTGATGCATTAAATTGCAACTGAAAGTGCCAGTACATTTAATATGTAAAGCATATAACAAAAAAATAATTATAAACAAAAGTATTATTGTTAATATAGTATCTAAATTATTATATCATACATATTGTTTTATTTATTAAAAAAACATTAATTTATATAATTCATAAAAAAATATTTTAATAAATTATTATATATTATAAATAAATAAGATTAAAAAAAACATTATGTAAATAAAGGTAGATATGTATCTATATATAGGAGTTGCACCCTGCTTGGCATTTATGCCCCTAGATTTGGTAGCTTAAGCCAACCAAATTCCCTTGGAGTGTCTACTAGGAGAAAAATGATGTTGTGCCCACTTGACATTTATGCCCCTAGATTTGGTAGTTTGTGCCAATCAAGAATTAAAGTTTCGAAGCATCTATTAGGAGGTATATACACGTGCGAGATCCCCATTCATAGCTGCGTGAGCCGAAGATGTGATGTGAAAAGATGATCTATCAATAGTATTAACATGTGTTTCTATAACAAGTCTATATCCTAGCCTAGGCAAAAAGAGGTAATCAGGATGTCTCTGGATTGGCTTGTATAAAAAGGTTACCTTATACGCCCTTTGACAAAAATGGACTAGCAGGTTGAGTGATTTAAACTGGTGGCAGGATTTTCACCTCCTGTAAATTCCACCCGGTATATGAACAACACACTCATGGTTTAGGTTAGTATAGTTGGGTTATAGGTGGATTAGGTAGTAGTTAAACTTACAATTAGTAGTAATATTAGTATATATAAGACTGTTCATATATATGGCTTGAATTAAATTCAATAAAAACCATTAGGCATCGATCGTCTTCTTCACCATAAAAAAAAAATAATAAAATAAAGATAGATATATAAGCTATTATTAGAAATAGTCAATAGGCAGTGTTAATTCTATATATAGAAGATATAAAAATGTAAAACTCATTTGTTCATATTTCCATATAGAAGACACTTGATGTTTGTTTAGATATTATATATCAATAAAGATTTGCATCAATGCATATTCACCTTTAAAATATATATATATGTATATATATTATTATTATATAAAGTATATAATAAATTTTTAAGTATCTGACATTGTTTATACAAAATGTAAATATGTTCAAAAGTTTATTAAAAACCATATAATACTGCTTTCTCAACTTTCTTAATAAGAAAATAAAAATCTTAATCATATATGATATCTTATATATAAATAGTAGGAGAATATGAAAATGAAATATTAATAATAAAATTTGAGTTTTATTATAAAAAAAATATCTTTTTATCTTTTAATAAAATAACTAATAATTTTATAGTTATAAAATTATCTTGTTTATATATAAAAGTTATTAATAATATATTTTATTTTTGACTTTTATATCTAATAGCAATAAATGTTTTTTTTATTCATTTTATTTTTTTATTTTTGAATTTTTCTTGTTTCTTTAAAAAAAATTCTTTTTTTTTTTTTCTTAAGTATTTTCTCTTCTTTTTTTTCACTTATTTCTCTTTTATATCTTACAAAAGTTCACTTTAGATTGTATAAAAATTTTTGAAAATTTGATAAAAGTTATATATAGAATCAATATTAGGTTGTTATTTACAAAAAAAAAAATATTATTATTTGCTTTAATAATTTTATAAAGTTACTATATATATAGTGATCTTCATAAAATTTTATAATTATTTTAATTATTATTTTTAATAATTTATTCGTTCTCCATTTTTTTCTATAATTTCTTTATACCTATTTTTCATAGATAATATAAAATTTTCTATACTTTCTTTAGATATTCCTTCCCATTCTTCTATCATAAATTTTTCTAATTCTAATAACCCTTTTGGTCTTCTTTTTTCTACTTTTCTTTTTACCATATTCCACATATTTTCTATGGGGTTAAGGTCTGGACTATTTGATGGCTATTCTATTGCTTCTGAAATGTTTTTTCTCAAAAATTCTTTGGCTAATTTACTTGTATGTTTAGGGTCATTATCTTGTTGGAATCTTCCTCCCTTCCCTTTAATTCGTCTAATATCTTTCAAGTGTTCCTTAAGGATGTTTACATAGAAAGGTGCATCCATTTTTTCGGTAAAGCAATGGAGCTTTGTTTTTCCTTTAAGAGAAAATCCTCCCCATGCATGAATCTTTTTTCTTTCTTTAGGTATGGAACAAGTCGGTCTCTTTCCTTTATACCACCGAGTTATTGTATTTTTGAATAGTTGAAATGAAGTTTCATCTGTAAAGATAGTTTGTGACCAGTTATCATCAAGATGTTCTTTGGCCCATTCTATTCTTTTCTGTTTATGTTGTTCAGTTAGCATAGGTGTTGCTAGTGGAAGAGAATTTTCATACCCCATTCTATGGAGATGTCGTCCTACGGTGCTCGGAGATACTTGTATTTCTTGTTCCTTTAATCTTTCCGATAAGCTTTTAGTTGTTTCATAAGGATTTCTCCTTATACTTTGTCCAATAATTCTTGATCCTTTTTTATTAATTTTTCTTGGTCTTCCTGATCCTTTCTTTCTTTGGTTCGTTCCTGTTTTTTCTATTTTTTGCAGGTTATAATATATTGTAGATAATTTTATCTCTGTCCTTTTTTGAATTTCTTTGGCAGTCTTTACTCCTATGTTCCAAAAATATTGAATAACTACTCTCTGTTGTTGTTTAATCTCTTTAGTCATTATGTTATTATCTATATATTTAAGTTATCCTCACCTCTTTTTTGTTAATCGATCTCTTTATTCCTATTTTAGTAATAGATCAGAGTTGATCTCCTTTTATGTTTTTGTATATGTTGATTCAACATCTCTTTCTACATCTTCCAAATATTGTAATAATCTCTCTTCCTTTTCTGTAATCCCCATTCTTTCTTTTGTTTCGTTCTTTTGTAAGATCATTTCTATTAATTTTAATAGAGTTAATTCTAAATCTGTTCTGCAATATTCTAGTTTTGTTATGACATAAAAATCTTGATTGTTTTTATCATTTTTTACTATCCTTTTTATTAGATCTTTTTCTTCCTTTGTTATTTTAATTTGTTTTATTCCTTCCTTTAATTCTATCTTTATATATGAATCTATTAATTTAATGAGTTGTCGTCTCCCTTGTTTTTTCATTTTTCCATACAAAAATTCTTTTTCTTTTAAATTTGTAATTATCCATTCTTTTGCCTTTTCTGGATAGGTGTTTGATATTGTTATTTCACATCCTTCATACTCTTCAGTATTTATCCTTAAAGATAAATTTTCTTTAATTATTTTTAGTAATTCATTATATTTATGTTGTCCTATTTCTTCTTCAATATATGGTGGATATCTTTCTATAAATTTATTCTCTCTTTCTGTTTTAATCATTAACATACTAATATAAAATTTATTTTCTTCCTTTTGTCTATATATGTTTAATAAGATTTCTGTTGATTTTTTAATTATTTTATAACTTTCTCTTCTCTTTGTAGCTATTCTTTCTTTAATTTTTTGAATCCAACTTATTAACTTTTCTTGTCTCTCATCTTTTGTATTTATCAGAGTATTAGTAGTTGTTTCTAAAAGTGTGCTTTTTTCTGATACTATTATTATCTTTCTTGTTTCTAATTTAGATAATATTTCTTGTGCTTTATAATATTTATCTAAATGAATTAACTCTGTAATTTCTTCATAATTTCCATAATTTCTCAAAATTATTTGTGCATAGTCTCCTTTTGTATCTTCTATTCCTTTAAGTTTTCTATATGTAGTGTTTATAATTCTTTTTATTATTAATTCATAATACTGTCTTTCAAATTTTTCTAAATGATATTTTTTCCACTGATCCATTTTTTTTTTTTTATGAATCAGGATAAAAATGTCTTTCTTTTATACTTTTCATTCTTATCTTTAAATAAAGTTTGTTGTTTTCTTTCTCATACTCTAAATAAAATTCTTTTTCTTTTAAATTTATTCCTTCTTGACTTGTTTTCCCAAAGATTTCTTTAAGCTCTTCCAAACTTTTATGATATTCTTCAAGGTTTTCATATTTCACTCTTGGTATTTTGTTAAGCATTATCTCATAATAAATATTTTTCTTCATGATTATTTCTCTTGAGTTTTCTCACTCTTGCTGTTGTTGAAGGTCTTCATGAGTTCTTTAAATAATTTTTTTTTACTTCATGTCTTCTAATTCTTTTATTACTTTCTTTAATTGTTTTGTTTTTTCTCTTTCCTGTTCATATAATGAAAGGGTTTTTAAGATAAGTTGATTCTTTGAGATCCCTCCTTCTTTATAATTTAATAATGAGATTAGATTCCATTCAGATTTCTTTCTATTTTCTTCTGTTAGTTGTGAGTATAAGCTTAACCATATTCCATCTATCTCAACAATTTCTTTTGATAACATCTTCTTTTCTTCCTGATTTAATTTAATTGATTGTCCTTGAATAAGGTATTCATCTTGTTCTTGATTATATAGTATTCCTAAGTTTTCTTTCTCTTCATGTTTTAATAATCTTCTTTGTAATTTATTATTTTCTTCTCTCAGTTTTTCATTAATTTCTTTTTCTTTGATTAATCCTTTTCTTAATTGTTCTTTTGTTATTTCAGGGATTGGAAG